GTCAGAATAGTCTCAGAATACTATAGGAATTTTTTTTTTTAAATAATTATTTAAACGTTATCTATTTTAAAAATTTTATGTATAAATGCTTTTAGTATTTAAGTACAAAGTTTTTTTTCACACAAGAATATTACGTTCTTTTCTTTTTTTAATAAAAAAGTACCTAAAAGAATTATGCAACTAAATAACTTATATTCTTTTTCTTTTTACAGATAAATGTGGCTGCAAGACGGGTGGACAATGTACGTGCAAAGCTACGTGCACTTGTTAATTAATGACAAAAATACCATATATATATAATCTGTATTAAAAATAAACTCATAATGGGTTGAAGTAAATCTAATATGTAGACCAAATTTGGATTTACTTCAGTATTGTCAAAGTAAGATTTTATGCTTTATAAAATTTATATATAATGTAAACGTTACACCTTTTTATTAGATGAACAGCTAATAAATTAATAAAATTTATAGACTTTAAGTAATTTTATTTTATTACTGCAAATACATTTCCCATTCTTTTGCTATAATGATTAAAAAAGCATATTACCCAAGAAAATAACATTATAAAGTTAATATTTAATTCTTTCCGTACTAACTCGCGTCCAGATTTAAATAGAAAATCTTAGTAAAAAAAGAATATTCTATATTTTAAAAAAAATTTAATTTATCTAATCTCTCTCAATGGTCTTTATACGTAGCGATAACTCGCAAGATAATGCCTATCGTTGCAATCAGTTTTGCTGACATTCACATTTTTGTGTAGAGAATGCGATCAAATATACGACGTCTCAAAACCGCGAAATGTGTTCCAGTCATTAATATTTATATAGCACAATTACGTGCAAAATAAAATTGTTAATTGCAAAATGTTATCAAAAAAAATTGGCTATACAATATTTCTTATTTATCTTTTCTTTTTTAATAAGTCCATTTATTTTGCTTGCATTTTTTACATTCAAATTTTTTGTTTTCTCTAACGTCCGAATATACACCCATTGTCTTGTTTCAAGTATAGATATTTTTGGGAATTGCAAACAAAACAAATAAATTTAACAGATTTTATTTTCATATAAAAATACTCACTGGGAGAGCCGTTTTGTGGAGTTCGTTATTTCGAGTGCGTCTCCATCATAGTTTAGTTATACTGTAATTATTAAATATATATATATAAGCTGTAGTATGCTTAATAGTAATTTGAAGAGGGATACAAATCATAATATTAAAGCTAGATACTTTTCTGTAGCATCTCCAAATACTGCTACAAAAAGTAGCCATGAGAAAATTGATCCAACTCTATTTAATGCATTGCCATTGTCAAAGCTTTCTATTTTACCAAACAAGAAGAATGATTTCCATTCTACTGAAGAAGATCAGAAGTATGATTTAACAAATAGCGAGACTAGTTCAAAAGAGCAAGTTAGTTCTTTTGAATTAAAAACATTTTTACATTCATTGGAACATCAAAAGCCATTGAAAGAGACAGTTGTGCAAGAATGTTTACTGAGGCGCTTGTCTGCAAACTTCTATAATTCACCTAAAACTTTTACAGAAAAATTACTAACGATTATTGAAGAATCAGTTATAAATGATGATTCTTGTGCACAATTAGAATACCCAGAAGTTAGCTTATGTAGATTAACTGAAGAACTGCGAAAAATGTGCAAATTTATAGAGGATGAAACTATTCCAGAATGGCCTCAGTCTCCAAGTATGTCGACATCAATTTGTATGAGACAAAGAAGTCGAGGACCTAAATCTCCCTTGCGGAAATCTCTTAATGCTTTTGTATCTCGAGATAAAGGATTATATTTAGACACATCTGTTTCTCCTCGATGCAAAATTAAAAGTTCGAAGAAAATTTGTCAGCATACATTAAAAACACCAAAAAATATTGTATATAATACGAAAAATCCATTGCATGATAGCACAAGTACATTTGAATCTTTAGAGGCATTTTGCGAAAAACTTTATGCTGACGAATGCAGAGCTCTTCCAATAAGAGAGGAAAATCTATTACAGTCTCCCTTGAAAAATATAGAGAGCATTTTAGATGTATGTGAAAATCAAATGGCTTCTTTGGAAAACTCGCTTGACATTCGTGAACAACTCAAGAAAGCTGCAACGTTTACTTCAAATTTGGCAAGCCAATGTAATAATAAAGTACCTGAAACACAGAATCTTCAACACAGATTGCTTACCCATGAAGAATACAATAAGACAGATTCGAAGAAAATATCTGATACATTTAAGCAATGGACCAAAAATAATAAATCTTATGAAACGATTGAACCAGATGATTTGGAAAATACGATCATGTATGAAATTGCAAAAAAGAGACAAAGATGTCTCGACACGGCGAAGGTAATAATGGAAATTGACACGAATTCGGAGCTGGTAGAGGCGCAACAAATATGCCCAAACATTGTCATCAATGAATCCTCATCGACTAATGATGCTAAATTCATGGAAACACTAATGTCTGTCAAGAGATATCAAGAGTATTTGGAAGAGCACAAATCTATATTGAATTTATTTCGACCTAGATCATGCAGTTCTCGTATTCCTGACAAAAAAGATGTTCAAATAAAGAAGATATCCAGAGAAAATTTCGGTTCTCATCTAGGAGATAAAGTCGAGAATACGATATTAAAAGAACGGGAGTTTTCAAAAATGAGAAAGAAGAGTAGAAGTCCTTTACTAGCAAAATGTTCTACTAATAAACCAGTTGTTTCAAAACCAAGATTATTTGTGACTCCTGGAAAAATGCTTGTTAACAAGAGTTGTAAGCCAAAGCGCACATACTTTCCTAATTTAGTGGTCGGAATGAATAAAGAAAAAGACGTTAGTTCGCATCCAAAAAGTATTTATCGACAAATAGAAAATTACGATCATGTAGTATCACCAGTTGGAATGTATATAAAGGGTACGGATCCTCATCTGATGAAAAATTTACGACCTAAAACAGACGAAAATCTATTAACACCTAGAAAAAAGCAGATTATGCGATCTCGCAGTCCAAAACCGAAGTTTCGACTATCTCCGAAACAGACAAAAGAGGTAAGTGAGTATTAATAAAGGTATAAATATAATTTGCAAGATTGTTTGCGAGATGTATTGAGAATCTATCATGTTTTGCATTATTTTAGACAATGACTAGAACAGTGGTAAGAGATGAGAATATTGCTCATAATTTTCTACATCCAAAAGTGCATTACAAGCTCCCATCGCATGTACGGATCGTATGTATTTGTGTATCGAAAATCAGATTTTATACATTTAAATTTATAAACTTGTAATATAATATAACTGTAGTAACATAACAATTTTATTTAGATAAAAGAAACAGAAAATCGAAAAGTGGGAAACCGCATAAACGAATTATTACGTTCAACACAAGATAAAGTCGTGATTCGACACGAAGGTAACATAATATTTATAAACCATGAATTAAACAATTATTTTCGCATACACGAAAATATATGTGCAGTTTTTTTTATAAAAAGAGAGAGTTCATGGATTTTAAAAATAATATTTACAATTTAATTTTTGTTTACGTTATTTCAGGTCGAATAAAATCAGTTCAAACAGATTGTTTGAAGCAACCTGAAATTCATTACGATTCCGCAGAAGAATCCGTGCATATTGAGCAAACAGCTCGTAAAACGTGCTTTTCTCGTGTACAAAAGAATTAGTAGCTGTTACTCTAATATGATTTGCTCTAATTTGTTAACTGGAGATCGATAATGCATTATAAAGAATGAAATACTATATAATACATGTTAATTCATATTTTCATAAACGTCGTATATCAATTTTTTTATATATGAGATGTAAAATGTTTCATTAAATGTGCAATTTAAATTATCTTTTTTTCGTCGTTAATTATTTTGCGCTTTCATAAAATCATATTTTATGGCATGCTATCTTATTCCATGCGATTGAGTAGCCCTTTTTCTAAAGAGTTAATCACAATTATAACTATGCTGTACAATTCAATTTCTTACTTCCGCTATATCGACAGCAAGAATAAATTTATTTTTCGTATAGCTTCTTGGAGTTTCTTAAAGAGTAGGATAGTATACATAACAAAAAAAAAAGAAATGTACATCTAGATTAATCTAGATTCTCATTTTTATCTAATAGTAAGTATACTGATCTAATTTTTAAGTTTTAGCATTCTATATCAATATTGTGTTGAGTGTTATTGCAGGTATCTGTTGCTCAAAATGCTGCATAAGATATATTAGACGAAGCAATATAAATAGAAGATAAAAGCGAGCACGGATGATTTTAACTGGAACAACGAATTTTGAAGAGAGAAGTTTTATGAGAGATATCCTAAGATACGTCATGGGGAAATAGTGCGTTTAATGGTAAAAGGCCAATTTGAAATGTCTCGTAGAATGAATCAGTGCGCGGAAATCTACCGCGTAGTATTATAGCATGTAGGAGGTTTCGCAAGTTCTCTCGTTATCAATATAAGTAAGTACGACAATACTGCGTCGTTTCTTACAATTCTCGCGATTCGTTGAATTTGTCAGCGATATGACAGGACCGTCATATCGGTAGATCAATAACACTTTCGAGATCTGTGTCAATAACGCGGATATTTAATTTTTAATTACGTGAACAGAGGAAGGAGGTCGTGCTGTACGAGGACATATATTACTATCGTGATTTGCATGTCCTTGATATAGCGCACTTGACCAAATTTTTTTTTTAATTTTAGACTTCCACTTCCTTGTGTATAAAATAAAATAGAGACGGGTTAAGCACCGTGAAAAATATACATGTACATTTATAAATATAATTCTGTAAATAGTTCGATTACCGCGGATAATGTGTGAAAGCTATTTTCTATACAAGTAATTTTTATTGTCTTTCGCATTAAATACTTAATTTGGATTATAAAATAATTAATATTTAATGATTACACTTATAGATCCAAATTCTTTAGAAGGACAATATGACATAAAAGATAAAATATCAGAATAGAAGATAAAATTAATAAAAAAGGAGAAACGTGAATAAATTTAAAATTATATTAAAAATATAGACTTTTATATCTTTTAATCTATTCTAACATTTTATTTTTTACATCGTATTATTTTTTAAAAGTTTGTCTTAACGTGATTATGAATTAAATGTTATTTTATATTGACAAATAATCATTTAATACAGTATTAATTATGAAAGTTATTATTAAAGTTATAAAAAATAGTTTCCACATATATGCTACATATTCTAATAATTATATAAATATGTATATGTGTGTGTGTGTATGTATATATATATATATATATATATATATATATATATATATATATATATATATATATATATATATATATATATATATATATATATATATATATATATATATATATATATATATATATATATATATATATATATATATATATATATATATATATATATATATATATATATATATATATATATATATATATATATATATATATATATATATATATATATATATATATATATATCGTATATATTAGAAAAACTCGTGCCGGCAGAATTGACTACACGGCCCTGAGGAGTTGCGCATGGTACGCATGTTGACAATTGCACACGCTGCGCGTTATGTTTGTCAAGTCACACGGAATAAAACCTAGTTGTGGTGGGGAACGATCGATAAATACGAAGCCGCGACGTCGTACCGTCAAGTAAGCATTCCGCTGCATTATCTGAGAGTTCGAGTCTCGACAAGTGAAGCGACAAGACAAAGCCGATCAAAATGCCGGGACCAGGATGCGACAAGTGCAAGGGTGAGTGTGCTCATAAATTCTTAATGGACATTAATAGATAATTTGACATGACATGACATTTCCTCTCAATTGTCACTGATAATGTATAAAGAAATTTCGCTGATATAGATAATGAAAAATAAGTAGCAAAAACGATCTTTTTTTTTATGGAAATATGTAATTATCGATTTTTAATTATCGTTAATTCGACAATTGTCAACTATTACGCAATTTTTGAAATTTATACACGATTTTTAAATATCTTCTCGAATTATACAACGTCTAATTTCGCATGACATCGTATAAATATTTATACAATACTTAAATTTATTATAGACAAATGCAAGGATTGTAAATGCAGTGACAACTGCTCGTGCTGCGACTCCGGATGCAAAGGTAATATTAGAAATTAGTTCAGTCGTTTGCTTGATTGCACAATTCACTATTAGCTCATTTTTGTATATATATATA